TTTAAAATTAAATTTTTAATTTTTTTAATCAGAACTAATATACACTATATTCTTAAAACAAACATTAAAAACATTAAATATATTTTATATATTTTTATGATATTAAAAAATCAAAAAACCTATAACTGTTCTTACCACCCTCCCTAACACAACCTCAGTATTATCAGGACCTTTTTCAATTTTTATGCAAAAGAGGCAAAAATGAACCCCTATACCTTTTGAGGTGTGGGTAAAAAGTCCCTCAAACTTAGTTCAAGGCAAACAAGCCCCCTTACTAGTGAAGTTGTGGCATTTTAGTCATTTTCTAACCATTTACATCAATTTTAATGAAAAATCAACAAGAAATTCACTTGCGGTATGTTTGGAAATGTGAATTTAGTAAAATATATTTGAATTTGAAGTGTTCAAATTCAATTTCACTGTTTATTTATATAAATTTTCTATATAATTCAAATTGATACAAATATATGTATTTCATTTCAAGTATTTTAAAACTTAAAATACTACTTGTATTTCAAATACATTCCTTACCATGAATTTCAAATCTAAACTTTGGTATTTGATTTAAGATACATTTCTTGTATTTTCTGATCAAGCTCCGTTCCCATCAAAATCTCTTTCTCCCTCTTTCTCTTATATTTTATTTGATCAAAATCAAACCAAGAAGAAAATTGGTGAGAGGTGGTGGTAAAGGAGTGGATTCTTCCAAGCAGTAGCTAGACAAGGGATGTGCCCATTTTAGTAAAAACAATTTCACAGTAATCTCATTGGAGTGGGATAAGGTATCTTTAAGGGCTGGGTTAAGGTTGGAAAATATAGTTTGCACATCAAGGCTTTCGAAAGGTTGGGATGGAGTTGAAACAAAGCAAGATTGTGAAATTGTAGCAAGGGGTAGTCGTGGGTGGCTAGTGGGTAATGGTAACGATAAGGTTGGGGGGGTTCAAAAATGGGTCTTGGGTCCTAGTTGGGGTGGAATTGGCTATAGGGTTTATGGGGTGGGTGGGTTACAATTGGAATGAGGGGGGAATGAATTCTTTTTTATTGTAGCCTTAGATGGTTTACCAACTATTTGTAAACATGCCTCAATGAAGTAAATTACTTGAAATTCAATTACAAGTTCACAATATCTTAAGGAATCCAAATGATGTATTTTGAATTACATATATTTTATACTACATGTATTTAAAATACATATTCTAAATTCAAATACATGTTCTCAAACACAATCTTGATTTTTCAATGGCTATAAAAACCATTAAAACTAAGAAAATCGTTAAAAAAGGGCTGAAATGCTAATATGCCACAACTCCTAGAGTATAAGAGCTTGTTTGTGTCAAACTTAAATTTATGGGCTCTTTTCCGGCACCTTAAAAAGCACAAGGACTCTTTTTTCGACATTTATGCCAATATTTTAATTTAATTACACAAGAAAACTTTTCATTCCCTCACGTCCCCTCCTGTTTTCCTCAAAACAAACAGACCCTAAGCTTTCTTTATTGTTTACAAGGCACACACCGGCTGCATGATAACCCAAACAGGATTTTTAATATTTATTTTTTTATAAAAAAAAAACCTTATCTTCAGTGCAATGATGCATTGACCACCAACTATTTAATTAAAAATATTCAAATATCACGTAACCCTCCCGTCACGCCCTTCATAATAAAAATAAAAATAAAAATAAAAATCACATGCCCTCTCTCCCCGTATTATATATTTGAACTCAGCAGCCCCCCAGGGAAATGCAACTCTCACTTCCCCAGCTGCAGATCAACCTTGGTATACGCTGCCTTGGGGACGGCAACAAAAACAGCCCTCCCAAGATAATCATCCCCCAATTACAGCTGCTACTTCTCTAAAACGCTAATTTTTTTTCTTTTGTACGAACCAAGCAATTCTCGTAGACCCTTTCAATGCCCCCAGTTAAATACCCACTCCCAATCCCCTCAATTCTCTCAAATTTTACTTTTGTTCATATGCAGATTGCCTCTGATATTCCTTTACCATGAGCAACATCCCATCATCTCTCACAGATTCTTCACTTACCCTTTTCAAACTCGTCATTTCTACTTTTGATCTTTGGGCTTTCTCTATTCTTCTCTCATAACCTAAATTTTCAGATATCAACTCGATTAAAATCTTGTGTGCTTTGTTTTTTTTTTTTTTTTATTATTAAAATGGGGAGAGGAGAAAAACCCCCTATGAGTTTCCATCTTCAATATCATCATCACGGGAAGAAAGATTTGAAGGATATCCCGAAAGGGTGTCTGGCAATCATGGTGGGTCATGAAGGGGAAAAGCAGCAGAGGTTTGTAATTCCGGTGATATACATAAACCATCCCCTGTTCATGCAGCTTTTGAAGGATGCAGAGGAGGAATATGGGTTCGATCAGACAGGACCCATCACCATCCCTTGCCATGTCGAGGATTTCCGAAATGTCCAGGGCTTAATCGACAAAGAGCAGGGCTATCACCCCCATGTCTGGTGTTTTAGGGCTTGATCAAGTCATGTATATCTGTTTCTTTTCCCACTTTTTTAGGTTTTTTTCTTTTCCCCTTTTCTTGTAGTAAATAAATATAAAGATCGTCCCTTTGTAGATGATGGTAACTAAAAAGTTGAATGAGAAAAAAGAAGGATTTTCTGGTTAATTTATAGGAAATTTTTTTATAGAATTTACTAAATTTATTTCATAAATCAACACATAAAATGATTTATAAAATATATTTAAATAATTTTATAAGTATTTAAAAATAAATAATCTTATAAGCATTTCTATACTTTTTCTTACATGAGTATAGGAAACTGAATTTGTATTTTTTATACTTTTTATTTTAAAATAATTGTTATTTTTTAATAAATATTTTTTAAATTAAACATTTTAAGATAATATTTATATTTATTTATTTAAAAAAATTAAAAATAAAAAATTTTGATTAAATAATTAATTTTAAATAATCTTTTTAAAAATAATTAATTTAAAATAAATTTAAAATTAAAAATATAATTATTTTAAAATAAAAATAATATCTATTAATAAAAAAATAATGTTTTAATATTAGACTTTAATTTTATATTTGAATGGAATGGAAGAAATAAAATATAAGGGAATTATAATCCTCTATTTTCTTTCATTTTTCTTTTTTTTATTTAGATAAATAATTAAATTAAAAAAATAAAACAAAAAATATTTTCTCCTCATCTCTTTTTAATTTTTTTTTATAATTGAATAGAATATTTTTTTTTCTCTATTCTTTACTTTCATTCTTTTCATCCCAAATATATTATAACTATTAATCAATAATTAAACGTACTCATGTTACAATCTCTGCAATTGCTATGCAGCATAATCTCTCTGAAAAGTGTAAAGAACACTTGAAATTTTCTTCCATTTTCTTTTATGCTTATAATGTCAACATCAAGCAAGTTGGTACTTGGTGAGGGTGCAGGATAAGAACGAACCTCTTTCCACGAACAAACTTTTTTATCAGTTTTTCTAATTGATAATCTTTGATTTGATTGAATCGGAATTTCTATTTAGGTGGCATGTATATGCTTATCTTTTATCATTGCGGTCGTCATCAATACCATCAGCTATGTAATTTGACAAAGAAGAAAAAAAAAAAAAATGCAAAAACGGCCCTGTATCTATCCAGGCACACCACACAGTGAAGACCGGTGAAGGTGTGTATAATTAGTTCTTATCTATTTATTTCATAATTTCAGCATCCCTTTCGCTTTCAGACTCCGGAATGAGTGAATATGGAAATGGAAATATGTACGTATACCAGGTGTTCGTTGTGTTGCCTGAATAAGGATCGATGTGTTTTGGTTTTGGAATGTTTTTAACATACACTAGTATTTTATTATTTATTTATCTTAAAAATTAAGAAGTCTTCAATTTAGCTTTGCTAAATTTGTATTTTCTGTATTGATCCACGATATCTACAAGAATTAATTAGCCTTAAATTTTAATTCTAAAATAATATTTAATTAATATCAACGAGTAAATTTAATCCTTATCGTTGCACTGTTATAGGTTGTACATATACTTATCTTAATAAATCAAATTTGTTTTTTTATGAGTGGTCATGATTAAAATTTTGAAACCAAACATTTAATAATTAAGTTAAAATACTTTTTGAACTTTTTTTAATAAAAATTTTAATTAGAGTTTGTTGTTTTGGAGTGTGAAGTATAAAATAAAAAATTTTAAACGCAAAAAATTCTTAATATTAAAAACTCATTTTTATTTAAGTAGTTTTTATTATATAATTTAAAATTAAAAATATTTTTTAGTTTTAATTACATAAAAAATTTATTTTAAAATTA